CACAGTTTTATCCTCCAAAAATGACCTTCTCCAGTCGGGGAACGCATGAGATATTCTACTAAACCACTGTCACTGGTAGATGTGGGAGTAGCAATATTAGCTAGAACAAATATGCTCCTCTTCTCCTTATCGAAGAGAACGTCGACAATATGAGAGAAATCATTCAATTTCGAAGTCATCAGTTCAAGTATTGTACCTTTACTAATTCGAGAAAGAGATAATTTAGATTCTTAACAGTATAGTAATCTCAATCTTCAAAGTGCAAGAACTAGTTAATTATCTACAAAAATTGATTTAGCATACCTCTGAGAATTCTTATACAAGAAAAAAAACACCATCAATGTTTTTGCATGAAATTAAACCTTGTAATAATTAAATTAAATTAAAAGCCTTTGGTTCCCGTTTCCTTCAATACGGCCGGCTTTTCCGCCAAAGAGAGGCAATACTTGGCAATCTCTCTGAACTTGGGCACACTCCTCAGGTCAACCTTGGTGCCGTCTTTGAGGGTGATGATAATATCACCCCATTCGCCGATGAAACGCGGCACCACCTGGACATCCTTGATCACCTTGTACGAGAAGTCGCTCCTGTCCTGACCCGTCAGTCCCGAGATTACCGTCACACGCAGGTTGGTGAACCTGTACCTCAAAAAGAAGGCCCTGAAGACCGCAGCTAAAGTCAAGGGCAGCCAGAGAAGAGTGAAACCCAGGATAAGGTTGGCCAGCAGGTCGCCGTAGTGAGCTCCGCCGTCGAAGAAGATGGTCTCCGTCGTGGGTTTCTTGGAGGTGGAGGTGGCGGTGGTGTTGCTGGGTTTGTTAGTTGGGGTGGACACGTGAAGTCTGGTAAGTGGTCTGTTGGAATTGAGAGTGCTGGGTTTGGTGAGGGAGTTGGGAAAGGGTAATTTAGAGAAGTGTAGAGATTGGTGGTGGTGGTGGACTAAGGAGGACGTGGTGGTGGTTGTGGTGGGGGAGAGGATTGGGGTGGAGGCCATTGGGCTATCAGTTACAAGTTAGAAAATTTGAGAAAGAAGATAGAGAGAAGGGGAAGGAGTGTCGCATAAGGATTGGGTTGGTAGCTGAAATTGTGTGTTTCATATTTCTCTGGGTTTTCTATTGGCTACAGTTGAGACAGCTTTGACATCATTTTATTGGATAAAAGTTAAAATTAGAATCGTTTATTTTTTTATTATCATTTAAAAAATTTATTTATGCTAAAAAAATTACTCAATTTAGAGACCATTTAATAAAAAAAGGTCGTACCCAGTGCACAAGGCTCCCGCTTTACGCAGGATCTGGGAGAGGTGAATGTCGGCTAGCCTTACCCCCATTTAGAGACCATTTAATCACTCATATAAAATTAAATATTAATATTTTGTTAGAGTTAAGTGTGTATTGTACACATAAGTAATTAAAAAAATAACTTTGAAGTAAAAGTTCAGTTTAATGGACTAAATTTAAACCATTCCCTTCCACGAACATATAAATCATTAAAATTTCTAAATTTTACCATCTAAATTTTAATACCAACACGAAAACTCACCCGAATATATGACCCTATGTGTCACAATTAAAACACAATAAATACTACTCAAATTATATCACATTTATTATATATTATTGTTTTTATGTTGTTCTACGGCTTTATTAGTCTTGTTCTCCTAAAAAAGTTTTAGTCACTCACTCTTTGGTCTTAATTCAAGAGTAAGAGGTCATTTAACTTTTGTTATTATACTAGTAAGAAAGTATTTTCTCTTCCACCGTTCAATTAAGACAGTGAATAACTACAATTTACTTTGGACTATGAGATTTAAAACAATGAGAATGATGTTTATCAACCATAGATTGTTGCACATGAACAAGACACGTCGCTTTTTGTAGCCTTATTTGGGCTCGCCCGAAAATTAAAAATTAAAAATGCAGTTGGACCAAACTAAAAGCCCAAAGTTGTATAACATCACGGTACTAGACTTAGGCCCAAACTTAATTTTCTTGCTAGGAAGCAACATATGAATCATATGTTGAATATATACTTCACTTTTGTCTCTCTTTAATTTTTCAATTTGTTGATTTTTCAAATGGTTAGGATCAACTTCGAGATAAGATAAAAATGATTGTTCCATGTGGAGTGGTAATACGTAGTCCTCCCAGAAATTAGAATATTTAAGTCGTCTTCCAAAAAAGTCATTGCAAAAATATTATGTTACCCGTTGACAGAGCTTCAAATCCATGGTAAATCACAACACAAATGGATACACAAAGCATTTCCAAACATATTTTAAAACGCAATAATGCATAATTATTTTTTAATACATATATAACCCTGCACATGTTTTGGTCTCAAAAATGGCAAACATGCTTCTGGGTTGCTCTTATTCTCTTCTGATAACAAATATTTAGCTTAACACATGGAGAAAATTTAAGTATTAATTGGTCCTTGAATTTTCATTCAATATCCAATTAAGTTTTGCCTTAAACTAAATGTTTTTTTTTTTTATATACAAAATGATGGCATTTGTGGAGATCGAACATGCATCAGGGGGTAGACAGGCACTATTGTTTTCTGCCTATGGTAAAGCGCCATCTGCTCCCTGGAACTAAATATTGAGTATAGGTTATTCAACTTGTCATAGTGAGAAATAATAATGATCCTTTTGGGTAACTACATTAAATTTTTCGTCTCTTATTTGATTCTTTAAAATATTTTATTTTAGACGAGAGTTTTACCAAATGTGACCCAAAAAGATTATTGCTTCACAAAATAAAGAGTTCAATAAATACTACTCACAAATTTTTAATTTAAAATCCAAAGCTCTAATTAAACTGAAGTTCAACAACAATACTCTAATATTCTCAAACAAATAAATAATTTGGTTTGGTATATTTATTTAGTTGAGGTGTGAATGTGAGGCCACAAAGGCACGTGGCCACTTAGCTAGTTTTTGTTAACTGGAATTGTTAATTTTGCCACTAACAATATTTATATGTGTAATATAAGTTGGCATCTCAAAGTGTCTGCAAAATGCCGAATTTCCAGCCATGGCGGCCAAAAATTATTTATGGCTTCATCACATGATCCCACGAATTACAAATTTTAAAAAATACAAATAATATATTTTGCGTCAACTTAATTTGATATGCAGTTATGGACAAGGTTATGCAGATTCTGTGACATGTTAATTTGTTGATTTGTCCTTTTAATGACGGGCTAGTTTTAATGAATTAGTGGCTAATAGCTCCCGTTAATTCTGTTGTGACAGTTGCTAGCAACAACTAAAATCTACATCCTGAGAGATGCTCATGATTACATTAGGAATTTTGATGACAATCTTCATGTGTTTGATCCGAAACTTGTTAAGCATGTTCTGTTGAGCTCTGGAGTGCACTGTCGTTCTGCATGCATGCATGCAACGTAAGGTTTGACGACTCTTGGTCAGTCACGCTAAGCTGGTTTAAAAGTGTTGTCCGACCTAAACATCGACATGCATGCAATGTCAGGGTAAATACTAATGCACTAGTAATCTTTGTCAGTCTGGTCGGTCACGCTAAGCTGGTTTAGAAGGATTGTCCGGCTCTTTTTTTTTTTACAGAAACGATGGAATGTTTCATTACCAAGAACAATTAAATACAAAAAATGTTAGATAGTTATATATTCTCTAATGGTCAATCTCTTGATCGATAAGGTCAATCTTACTGTTACAACCAATTTTAGGCATCAACGACTGTATATATAGGTCAAAGATATTGCTTTTGAGCTCAAAATATCTTGGAAAAAAGAGACAGAATTGAGGATGAGGACAAGTGAAAGTGTTCCTGTCACTTGAAAATAACTGTTCGAAAATGCACATGTGTTGGAACTTGGAAGTAAAGCATTACATCATGGAAAAGAAAAAGGAGATGGTAAGTGTGGGAAGGGAGATGTATTTTTCTAAAAGCAAGTTGAAAAAGGATCTTGTGGGACGTTAGAGAGTGGGTGACAATGAGTTCACATGACACCCTACTCTTTTCTTCTTCTTTTCCCGATAAATTAACATTATGGTTTCAATGAGTCGCACTCAAGTTTACCAGTTTATATTCATATCGTAATTGTGTTAACTCGTAAATTCAAAGATATGAAAGTAACAATATAATAACTCATATTATTTGTCTCAAACCTGAAAAAAGCTACAATCTTACTAGTTAGCACAATGTTGATAGAAAAATGTTAATTGTATTTTAGTCAAATTTTATATTCGTACAAGAATCGAGTCGTGTAACTTATCAAGATATCATGTCCAAGATTGTCTTCTTAACAGAGAGAGAGATAGGTGGGTGGTGAAAGAGGTGATGGTGGTGGAGACAGAGCATAGTTGGGTTTTTGTCCATTCCCTTCGATTGTCAGTACATTAAACTTGCCAACGTCCCCTTCACGAGTATGACCCTTTTCCAACTCTGTTTTCTTCCACTCTCTTCCATCTCCTTGTCTTCATTTCCCTCTTGGAATGTGTGCTCGATACTCTCCCCCTCTCAGTACTCTCCCTCTCTCTCTCTCTATAATTTCTCTATATGTATTCTTTTAATTCACTTCAAGTAGATTTGTTTTAGCAAAAACTTAAAAGTAGTAGATTTTGTTCTCCGTTTTGTACTGGATTGATGAAATCAGCAAGCAAATCATTACAAAAGGACTTTTTTTCACAGCACTTGTGGCAAATTTGGACTTGGATTGTCTGCCCTCCTAGTTGTGGTGCCCTTCTATGCCCTCCTATTTTGTGCGGTCACGGTTAAGCCACGTCAATATTTTATATTTTTATTATTTTTTGTCTTATTATCTCATTAAAAAATTAATATAAAATATTGACGTGGCTTAACCGTGACCGCACAAAATATGAGGGCATGGAAGGGCACCACAACTAAGAGGGCAGACAATCCTTGTCCGGCAAATTTTCATTGACAGTACAATGCCATGATTCCAAAGTACAGAAAAACTCTAGAACTTTTATTTGGTTAATTTTCTCACTAAACTTATAAATGTCCAATTTTATTTGATAAATTTAATATAGAGAAAGTAAAAGGGACAAATAAGAATAACATTTATTGACCAACATGTTAATATTTTTTGACAGAAAATTAGGGAGAAAATCGACAATATACTAAAAAAATACACAAAATGGCGGAGGAGAGAAATCCTTTTTTTTTTATTTATTTTTATTTCATAGTCCATGTTAGCTAGGAGCTGCTGACACACTCAGTCACTAGCTACCATGCAATTCAAATTCACTTGGATATTTTTTTCATCCCATTAACTTTAATCTAGTCACCAAAAGCATGGAATATTTTAATTAAAAACTGATAGAAATTAACATGGTAATTTGGATTTTTTGCCTCTTGATTATTTCATTGCTCAATTGAATTGATGTTGTTCCAACCAAGGCCAAAACCCTGCTGCAGACTGATCGTCGATGCCACAGAACATGTTGGTCAGGCTTTCTTCTTTGACCATCTGATCGATCTTCTGGCATTGCATTGCTTCAGACCTTGATGTGTTTTGGAAGAGCTGGGCAGGCCTTATTATTGAAGACGAAAAAAGGGTTGGATTTTGATGGTGGTGATGATGGTGAGAAGATGGAGGGCTGTCGATCGCCGGCGTTCTCGAAATGTCCAGTTTTATATCGGAATTGTTTTCACTTCTGTTGCTGCAGGATCCCTCTGTGTCTTTGTTGAGGTTGATGGATTCTGCTGGCTCTCTGTTTTTTAATGCCATTATCTGCACCCATTAAATTGATGTAAGTTTGTTTCGTAGCCGGACCAATTCAAAGATGTATGAAAAAAATAAAGATCTCTACTTCTAGAATGATGATTACCCTTTTAAGCCCCAAATCATGTTCAATTAATCAGTGCATAAAAAGTTTAACCTATCTTGGAAAAAGCAACTTAATGTAACCAGAGATTATTGGTTCAGGGACCCCAAATGATCAACAGTTATAAAGGTTCTTAAAATCATGAGACAATCATTTTAAAGTAAAAAAAGCAAAAATCTTTATGATGAAAAGCAGATGATTAAGTTCCAAACCATATTCTACAGAACCAGAGCACAATCGTATGCAAAACTTGATTTGAGCGATATTTTAATATAATTTAAACTATATAAATAGAGTTTCAGAACTGCTATAACCAACTTGACTACGAGAAGAATTTGATTTAATGCGTACTTTTATAGATCACTGTATTTGAATTGAACTAACCTCAGCTTGAAGTTTTTGGTTCTGAGATTGGAGAGCATCATTGTCAGCTTTGATGGCATCAAACTGTCTCTTGAGGAGATCATAATCTTTCTCCAACTGCTTTGTCTTCCACCTGGCCCTCCTGTTCTGAAACCATATAGCAATCTGTCTTGGCTGCAAACCAAGAGCCCTGGCCAGCTGCATTTTCCTCTCAGGCTCAAGCTTGTTCCCCAACTCAAAGTTCTTTTCAAGTGTCTTCACTTGCTCCATGTTTAGCCTCCTCTTCTTCTCCCCTACCTGTGACCCATCATCTGATAAGTCATCCTCCCCATGAGCTTCTTCTCCCAACTCAATCCCCGAAAACGACACCGATCGCTTTCCTAGAAACGATGCCACTCCTGCATAAACACAACAAATATTAACGTCAAGATTTCAGAAAGACAGACCAGCGAGACGGATTAGCGGCCCACTACTACTTATGAACTTGATTGATCAAAAACGAATTGATGTTAAAGTTTCAGAGACGTGCCATGGAAATCTTGAGGTGTGCAGGAAGGCAGCATTGGATTGAGAGAAGTGGGAGGTTGATGGTCATCGTGACCATGGGGGTTCTGAAGCATGAAATTTGAAGAGAAGAAGACCATCCCATTGGTAGTCATGGTTTGATGATTAATCAAGCTTTTGCCACTAATCTTAATGATCTAGCAGCTGTCATGTTCAGAGAGTGGCACAGAATCTAACTGTTGGTGAAGGAAAGATAGGTTTGTAGATTTATCACAGAAGGAAATGATAGATTTTTTGCTGAAATATTCAAAAGGGAATATTAATTTCTTCAAACGGAAGGGGATGCAGAAATTGTTGCAGTGGGTGGCTTATATACCTCATCAGCAGCTTCTAGGAATTCATGTATATATATATACATATATATATATATATATATAAATACACTCACACACACATTATTTTTTGAGGGCTAGCTGTAGGAGGGGAGAGAGTGCATGATTCTTAAGTTATATACATTGTTTTTAGGCTATCTCCAATTCAAGAGTCAAGAGTGAGAAATCTTAAATTTTAGCCCCATATTTTTTAACCATTTATTTATACATATGAGGTTAGACAGTTTTTTCTTCAATAGTAAGAGACCTATAATTCCCACCTCCAACTTTATAATTTATTAAACTTTTGTATTTTGTTAAATTTTTTTGGCTAATAGTTTTGGAATTAATTTTTGTATAATATATGTTGTTTTATTTTTACGAACATTTTGATATAAAAAAAAAATTCAAATTCTTTAAAAAAAATTGTGATGGTAAACACAAACAATTCCTTGACATTACATAAAATTAATAACATTACAAGAACAACAAAAGGATTGCACAAGAATACTTAAAGACGACAATCAAAGACACTAATTAATCACTTTCCGAGATCTATGGACTGGGATTATAGGATGCAGTGTCCAAATCCGGGTACGAGTTTTGTGCAATAATTGCATCTTGTTTAGTTTGCCAATACCTCTTTTTTCTTGGAGTATATTGGAGTGGATCCTTCTCGATAATTTCTCTTCTTTTTCTTCTTTAAGCAATCGTATCCTCGCTTTTCTGTCGTCCCTCGTCTAGGGACGAAATCTGAATTTTCTTCTAGTAGGGTCAACCGAAAACAACTAAGAAAATCTTATTATAGTATGATTATATACAATATGATATTAAGGATGATTTCAAATGATGATGTATTACAATTCCAATGTTACAAAAATTTCAATATAGTAGTGGAAAAGTGATGAGAAAAATATAAGTACATGATAGGCGGGAGAGGGTTTTTTCGGTTTGAATGATAGAAAAAGAGCACTATTGCTCATATAATATTTGATATGGAGTATAAGTATAATGAATGTATGTTGAATATTAGATATATATATATTTTGTTCAAAGATAACCTGTGTATATTATATAATTGTAGTAAGCAACTAAACAAACGAATTACTTGAATGGGGGCATCTGCCCCCAATAAACCTTCATTGGCTCCATCCATGCCCTCATCTTTACTCCTTATTAAACTAAACACAAGTACTCACCAGATTGTTGAATAAAAAAAGACTCATCATTTTTTTTTCCCTTTTTTTCTCGTCTTCTTTCTATTTATCGCATCCATCTAGCCGTGGGAGTGGCGTTACAGCTAGCTCGACCTCTTCCCCCAATCCACACCATATGTGGAACTGTGAGAAGACTTTGTTCGTTGCCCCCCAAGCTTAACCCACTTTGGAGAATTTTTAGAACCTCCCAAACATTGCAACTTGAATTTTGCGTGGTTGCATGATTTATTTCCAGCTTCAAAAAATCGGTGTGCTTTCCACCCTTACGCATATAGTAAAGGAAAGTTAATCAGATGAAAAATATTAACACAATTAAAACTGTAACATTTAAATATGTGAATTTACCGTATATTCTACATTGCTACCACTTGCTGGATTACGATGTACAACACTTAAAGGTGAACTCCATAGAGTGACATTGTTGGTTGAGAGTTTTGAAGCGAGGTTTACATCATCCTTGTATTCGAGGTTTTCCCCTATAGTGCCTAGATTGTTAGTGAGAAACTTTTTGTAAATACGCCCCCACATCGTATCAATTGTTTAAAAGCAACCAACAAAACCGTCTTCGGCAATCGACACCCAAGCTAAGCATAAGGCGACATCTTCACTAGGAAGCCAATTGGCATTTCTAGCGCTCTCTGTCTACCATAAGAGATAAATTTGAATGGAGAATTGAATGATTGAACAAATTTGGTGGTGAAATATGAGAAAATTGATTTTTTTATATTTTATGGATAAGTGAACAAATGTATGGGTATTTATAAAGTTTTAAAAGAGTTTTGGTGTTGTATCTGATTTGGATTAATTAATAATATCAATTTGACCGTTATTTAAATTTGAGTCATTGAATTTTTTTCTTTACCGTTAAAATTGCTTAAATTAGATTTGAGCCATTGGATTTGAAAAAATAACAATTGAAGAAAAATATTCAAAATTGGCCATTGGATTGCAACGATAAAAAAGTCTGGGCAACACAAGAAGGACATGTTGGAAACTAATGGGTATGGCGCGCCACACTAGGTCATAACCTAGGAACGCACCAATCCCAGTCGTAAAAAGGCTACTGCTGGTGCATTCGCCCGTAGACAATTAGTCTGCCCTGTTGCATCTGCTGCTCGAGACCCGCCTTTCCCCTCTTCATGTGTTGTAGAAGCAAGTTGGGGGTCATGCCGCCACTTGCTTTCCTTATCCATCCGGGGTGGGTTGCAGTCCCAGATTCTCACCCTCAAACTCAAAATCCCAAAATTTTCACACCCAAAATACATTCCTTGAAGAGATATGGGCCCAAATTTTGAGGTTTTTATTGTTTCCCACCTCCTTGAGACAGCCTCATAGTCATAGGATGTGATTTCCCTCTTTTTATATGAGAGTTCTCCTACCTATGACTTTTCTTTTCTTTTTTCAATTACAAGCAATATAGACTTTTTGGTCTTTCTTTTGTCCGTCACACTTTACCAGAGAGTTAGCTGTGGGAGTAGAGTTGTTAAGTCACTATGAATATGAGTGGGAAAATGTAAGAGGGATTGACAAAAGGCATGCATTGTGTGTGTGTGTGTGTTCTTGATATGCTTAGGTCAAATATTGATAATCAGGGCAATATGGCCATCGTTACACCTAAATTCAAATTTCACCACTCTTAATAAATGAAAGTAAGTTTCAAATATCGCTTTGTCAAAAATAAAAAAGAAGAAAAATGTCTTCAAGATTATTTTTACAAGGGGGAATGGAAACTTTTAAACTAGCTTTGTTTCGATTGTGAATTAAAGGGAAAACGCAGGTGGTTCATGTCTATGCTGGACAATGTCAAGTGGGTGACTTTGGAGAGAAAAAGAAATGTCCCTCTTTTTGGACTCAAAAGACATTGTTGGGATGGATTGAGCTTGGGCGTCCTAGAAAAAGTGAAAGGACTTTGGGTTTCATCAGAAAAAAGAATAAAGCATATATTTGATTGATGATTTCAGTTATGTAAAAAAAATGATCAAACCAATTACTTGAGGATAAAAAAAAGGAAATGAGTTGGCGAGAGCGAGAGAGAGAGAGTGAGGGGAGGCAGGAATGAAGGGGATGGGGTCCAAAGAGGGGGGCAGGGTTTGCTACCTAACCCACCAACAGGTATCGTGGGTTAGGACGAAGCTCTCCCGCTGCTAACACTGCTCACTGCTCACTCCTCACCTCAACTCTCTCTCTCTCTCTCTCTCTCCCCTGCACGCCGCTGTGAATTCGAGTGAAGGGGAAACAGTACGTATTGAAAGTGAAAACGAAAGGTTGTTGTCGTAAACCCTACTACTAGGGCCAAGAGCTGGTCAGTTTTGTCTTTGTGCACCCATCATAATCTTAGTATATACCCCCATATGCATGCATATACTTACATATGTATATATACAGATATATATCAACTCTCTCTATCTATATATATCTCACCACTGTTCATCTCTCTTGATTTGTTCTGTCACACCACCTCAATTTCCATATGGGATATGTCATCATCCCTCCACAGTCCACCCCTTCAATTGGAAACTTTCAACATCATCTTTATATATCTGTGCATACTATATAGTTAATAATTACGTAAAGTAACTGTAGTATTCATACGACCACCAGTTGTTTTAATTTATGGTAGGAAAACTTGGAAAGGGATCCTCTAGATCCCTTCTTTCTAATCCATCAAATCAGGAAATCCGTACCGTTGAAATTTGATCCAACGGTTACAAACAGGGAACCACTTTAAAAGTTATAATAACTTCAGCCGTTAGATCAAATTTCAACAACACGATCCCCTAATTTGATGGATTAGGAGGAAGGGATCCGGAGAGGATCCCGAAAAACTTTACAACTTTTTACTCTTGATCATTTTTCACCTCTTTTTCACCTTGACACGTACAAGTTAACTCGTACAGATCGAAAATTACCCAGGTGCTAAATAGTGTGTGTGGGACTCGGCGGCAGCAAGCACGCGGCTGCATGCATGGAAATTTAAGATGTGGGACTAGATTCTTTACATAATTTTGTCAAACTCCAAGTGTACGTAAAGGGGTGAAAGGACTTGTACAAAGTTAATTAATACTGGAAAATGGAGCTGCGTTGCTCTTTCTGTGCATTAAAAGGAATCGGCAACTAGCGTATCAGCTGGAAAGGATAACAAAGAGAGGGGGCAAGGAAAGCATAGCCCTTTACAAGAAGGATTTCATGGTATGAGACATCACAATGGCGGTGCAGTCAATATTTCAAAAAGAACTAGCGGTTCGTTACTAATGGACCAATCACCGTACCATTCTTAAGTTAGCTACATGATAGCCCAATATATGTGAGGTTTTCTCACAACAGTCTTAAACTAATTTGAAACAAAATCACTTATTGTAATATATACTATATTACATTCTTCAACACACTTGTGTCATGTAAATTGCTCCGAATAAAAAGGGTTCCCTTAGCTTATTACCTGTTTCTATTCATCTTCTGTTCTTTTTCTCATTTTATCATAAATTCTATATGTTGGGAAGCTCGCTTCCTTAACATAAAAACTCAAATTATTGACGACAACAGAAAAAACCACAGAAATGAAAGAAGGTGAAGCAAGAGGGAACCGTGAAATAACTAAAGTACCCATCCATGCATAGTGATATACGATTTGAACCAATTGACATTTATCTGATCGGACGTCATTTAATTTGATTAAAGTACCGCTTCTTAATTTCTTGTTAGCAACTTAGCATGCATGATATGATACACTGATAAAATCATATAACCCATCTTTTCCTTAAGGAAAAGATGTACTTATCAAATCTTTAACTAATCTAGTAATTAATAAAACACTAGAGTTTATTACATGCATGGAGATGGGGCTAGATTGTCAAGGCCTAACATATCTATTTCAAGTGGATGGAACTTGTTTTTGAAAGTAGACCCAGTCATCGTAATAATTGTGAGTCGTTGATGCATAGATGCTCAAATACAAGGGGTTGGCCGGAGCATCCAGGTGTCAGGCTGCCTGATCGAAGATTTGAAAGAGCATATATAGTGTAGAATAATAGTGATGATGGGACATGAAGTGCCAATAGTAACATTAAATAACATAAACAGTTGGTTTAATATTTGGCAAAGACGAGAGTGTAGGCTGCTAAATCACATGCCTGGATTAGAATTGAGTTGTGCAGTAGTTGCAGTGGGGGTGTGCTGTGCCTGTGTGCCCACAAATCCAATGGAATGGGGTGGATATCATATCCATGCATGTTCCCAAATTCCTTAATTTAGTACCTGAATAATATTACCTATATCTATCTGTTTTGTTTTTCTTTATTTTATTAAAATTCATAGAAAATTAGAGAAATTAGAAGAAAAAAAAAGAAAGAGAAAAGGAAGTAACAACTGGGCGAGTGTTTTTGGAATAAAGAAATTGCTGAATCTTCTCCTCTCCACATGCGCTCATAGGATTCTGCTCTCTTCATGTGGCCTTCTCTTCCATTGCTTGACGTCACTCCTCTCTCTCTCTCTCTCTCTCTCTCTCTCTCTCTGTGTACATGCATATGTATCCTTCTTTAGAAATTACAATATTTTATTTCGAGAGCATTTTTACTTGCTACCATAATTATGGTATATGCTCATCATATTTTTAATCATCTATACATTTTTTTACTTAATTCTAATTAATTTTCACATTAAATGTTATCTTTTTTATTTTAAAAAATTAATTAAATTTAAGTGAAAAGACACAAATAATTAAGTATATAATGAACGTACATCATAATTTATGATGATAAAGCAGAAATATTCCCTTTTATCCTTTTCTTTTATTTGTTGAATCTAATTGTTATATTTTTCTGGGATTTGCTTTTTGGGCAGAGGAGATACGCATACTGATTCCTCAACGACCATGCTTAGCTCAAAAATTAAGTCTCGCACTTTGACACGTCATCAATTTGATAAAATTACAAAGGAAAGAGATCATTTCCAGATCTCTTCCTTCAAAATTTGCGGATCAAATGATCTGAACTCTTGAAATTTGATATAACGGTCCTTGAAATCCAGACCCCTAAAGATTGTAATAATTTTTTACCGTTAAATCAAATTTCACAAACCCAAATTACTTGATCTGCGAACTTTGAAGAAAGAGCTAGAGAGGATCTCTTTCCAATTACAAAAACTAGAATTACATCAAACGTGTTAGGTGGCTCCCAGTCTTTTTCTGATCTAGGGATTGAGGTGGGGACAGTGATTCATCTGAGCCGTCCATTTCGTTGGTTGCCTGATGCCGATGTGAGACGGTACTAGGCAGAGCATGGACGTGGCACACATCTTTATTTAGTACTTTTTAATCTTAGCAATTGCAAGCCCAGTCATGCAGGCATGCATTGCCCCTAACAACCCTAACTAGGTTTACCTGCTAATTAATTATAATTAATACGACCAATGCATTCTTAATTAGGGGAAACTTTTGGTGGATCGGTTTGAGATTGAGATGACACAGACTAGCATTACAACCTAGTGATCTTTACCAAATGAAAAAAAAAAAAAAAAAAATCTAGTGATCTGTACAGCATGAGACTGAGAGGATCTTGAAAAGGAAATAAAGGATGATTAGACTAATACAAACCCACCAATTAACCTCCATCAACATCATATAAACTCATTTACTCGTGTCTCTTGATTGTATATTATCATGAACTTTTAATCAAAATAACGTTTACTTCCATCAAATTCGGGTTACCGGGAATGGGAAAGTAGTGGTAGCCACCGGCCACTTCAGGTCACGCTTGCCGGAACCCGGCCACAACATACTTGCTGCTTTATACAAGGCAAAAACAAAAGTCTTATGAAATATATACATATCCAATCGTAAAATGTTAATCGGATGAGGAGGAAGTGAACAATTTTCCGAGAGCGGCATTGACATTATATGCATGTATGTATTATCCTTTTCAATGTACCTGACAATATACACTCTGCATAAGAAGTGAGGCAAAAAAAAATGAATAAATTTACGGAATGGGTAATTCGGTTGGTAAGTGTATACGTACGCATAATTCCAGCGCCAGAGCCAGAGCAATCCCTTGGAGAGCAAATGCTCATGCATGGTTGAATCGTACGCGGGGTGGTCATCATCTGCTTCTGTCATTAGCCGATCGGGTGAACTACTTCTGTCATTACCCAAAATGAAAACCTGTTGAATTGAAAGAACTCGATAGATTTGGTAGTCTGCGAGCTGCGATGATGCCACCAGCAAGGGCAGCGAAGGAGGCCAAAACAAAGGCAGGTATATTTCCTCCCCCAAATAAAGCATCCCATGGCCCCGCACCAAGAGACACAATCATCTACGCAATATCAACGAGGAACATGAAATCAGCACTACCAAACTTGAAGAAGAAAAAGTTCTAAATAAAAAAGTTATGAACGGTCAGTCCATGAAACGGGAGGGACAGGAATAAGAAACAGGTTTATCCAAATGCAGATATCAGGACCCAGGTTACACCGCCACACTACTAGACCTGATCATAGGCTTCACCTTGCTCCGAACTTCTACTTCACTTTTGTCGGGTTCAGGCTGGGCCTATCTAGAATTTGGCACTCTCCAAGGCCAAACCTGGTCCATGATCAGGTCAAAATTTTGCATATGAAATAAGAAGCCTGGTTCTGAAATCTTACCATGAGAAAGTAAGTAAAAAGGGATCGGAGAGAAGGAAAACGTATATATATATATATATATGCATGTATACCAAGCACAGTGACGGTGAATTGTATCACATGAAAAAAAAAAGATCCAACAGACAACAGCCTGCAGCATTACATAATTGAGCTAAACAAGTGATAGAACAGGAATAGTGCATGCTAAATACCTGTGGAACAACAATTGCAAGATTCAAAACTCCAATAGCCAATCCTGCACAATAGTAAAATGCGTGAGAATTCAAATCACCAAGTTCAGTAAGAACAGAAATAAGTTGCTAGATTCAGGAAAAAAACACACAAACCTTGGCCACCACCTGCGTCAGCAGTCAACTCTGCTGTAACAGAAAAGGGAACGCTGTAGGTAATCTGCAACACAGAACATACTCAGCGCTTTGCATACTTAGGGGTAGGTAGAAAATGGACATTTTCTACAGGAACACTAATACTCACAGCAAGAGGGAAGCCAAGAAGAGCAAAAACAATCAGGGAAGCAATCCTGATATTTTGATTCCCACCAATTACATGTTCAATCCCTTTAGAATACTCTCCAACGGATATCAAACTTATGATAGCGGTGCCTGCCATGCAGGCAAACACAATAAAATTACTCATTGCCCACACTAGTCTTGCACCCATCTGCTGACACATTGGCTCAATTAGGAAAGAACTGATGCCAAGAACAACCTACGCCCCAGAAAAAGAGAAGCTTAAATTAAAGGTTGCTTGATAGTATTTGAATTACATATGACAAATTTTGGAAATCAAGTATTGGTTCTCAATTTTGAGTTCTTACTGAATTCAATAATAGACCGAATGCACCTTCTCTGACACCCTGATCATAAGCTTGTCCTTTGGCTGAGTTCCCATTCGGATCCCCATGATATACTTCCCTACCCATCCAATCCGTATCAAAAAGAAAGAATGGAAACCAGGATAACTGCATGTAAGAATTGAAATGAAGATAAGTTCAAAACAGAACTTCGTAATGGCAACAAACACAAATTCTAATGGTACCAAATATGAGAAAACAGAAATAAGCAAAAATGCTATTAAAAAGGGTGAGACGGAAAAGCTCATGCAAAATAACAGTGCCACATACCCATGTAAGAGCCATAACAATTAGCACTGAAATGGAAAAGCTTGTGCAAAATAACAGTGTCACATACCCATGTAAGAGCCATAACAATTAGCACTGAATGCATCGCTGGTGGTAAATGCCTTAAACTGGTCAATAGATTGACTAACACTGCTCCAGGTCCATCATTAAAATCACCATTCTTATCTTCCTCAACTTTTGAGATGGCCTCCTTTAGATTCTTATCCCTTTCATAGTCAGTTCTGCTTCCATTTGCATTATCAATAACTTGCTTATCACGCTTTAACTTCGAAAGCTCAAGACGACTTTGTTGGGGATTTAGTTGGGGATCATCCAATAAAGGAGCAGAATCTGATAAAGGATTCTGCTGATACATAGTGAGTGGAACCTCCTCAGCAAAATATAAGGTAACAAGTGTACACAAAGTGAGAAAGATCTGCACACATAACAAACTTATTATCTAGAGTTGTACAGAGTACAATACACCACATGCCTCAGCACCAAATTGCAACACTAGAAGTTCTCATTTGAAAATGAAATGAACTCATGAACAACTCTATGCCTTAAATTCCCAAAAAAAAGGGAAAAGTTCAGAAACTTAATAAATAGATCGATATGATTTCTTTAACCACCCAACTATACACTTGATGTAAGCATATCATACCTACCTCAGTTAATAAACTCAATATATATCACATTGACAAGACCAGCCAAAACTTTTATTACTTGTCCCAGACATTGAAAAATATCATAATCTGGGGCCATCTTATAAGAAATACACCATCCAGTGAAACAATGATTAGTGGCTACGCAATTTAGTTCAGCATAACAAGCAAACTGCAAGTAGGCAGTAGTTAATCGGAATCTTCCATTCATGATTGAGCTAATAAAAATATGTAGCAAATCAGGAAAGAAGTCATAGAAATAGATAGTACAATTCATGGATTTCAAGCTGCATTATTGAGATAGAAGCAGGTTTGCTGATAGAATTGTCAATCATTAAGCACCCAAAAGAAATTAGTATAATTCAAACAGTAGAACATGACTTCATAAATACATGCACTTCCGTGCATGCTGGTAACTCACCACTGCAATAAGAAATGCTGCTTTAAGATTTCCACAGGCTTCACAGCAAGCTCTACTCAACAAGAAAGGAAACCATCTGCCAAGAAACAAAATTGTCAGACAAAGAAACCGCCCCTAGAATTTGAGATGCAAACAATAAGTCTATATTATGTGGGAAAAAAAGAGCAGAATTCAGTGATTGCAAACTAAGTTTGATTAGGTTCAGATGGCATAAAAAGGGTTTAGTGTAAGGGTGATGAGAAGTATATACAAGGACTTTAAAGTCCTATGCAAACACATGCCACTGCACAAAAATATCCCATAAAAAAAGCAAAAAAAACATATTTGAGGAGTTTCACCTGTGCCAATTTCCACTTGCACCAGCAGAAAATCCTAGGATGTTACCAAAGGCCATCCATGAGCAAAACACAGCATTTGCAGTATTGCGTTGCTCGGGGCCTAGAATATAGTTGTGACACATCATATTATGTTTAGACAAAGTATTACATACTTTAAATTTTATAAAAAATAAATAAATAAAAAATTAACATAAATGTAACTAGTTCTATGATAGTTTGGGGCGAAAGTCACCTGCTAGATCAGCCAGAAGAGCACGAGCTGGTCCCTACAAAAATTACGAGTTACACTTTATTTTGAGACATGAGTAGCATTATACTAAAAGTTTGATATTTGTTTTTTCATTAGGAAACTACAGTGTAATCTGTTTTACATTGTGATCGAATCGCACAAACTGATAGCCTTAGAACCATTACCTGCACTGTATTGTTGGCAAGATCCAGCAACCAAAATCCAATAATAAAGGCAAAAGCTGCCCTTGTCCGGGTACCTTTGAATGTGCTGCATTGGCTCAAATGATTTAGCTAACAGTTCATGAGATTTTATAATATAAAACACAAAGAATCAACAGAAGGCAACAAAAACCTGCAATGCTCCTTTGTATCTCCTAATAAATATCCAACGTCTGCAGAAAACCCGATTAACACCACCTAAATTACAAGACTTAGTTTAGCAAAAAAAAGGTATGCACCAATTAATCTAAGATATAATGGTAAAGTACAAAAATAAAAACTCTCCGCACTTACGGAAACTGAAATCATGAGAGATCCTGCAAGAATGAAGGGGCGCCTTCTTCCCAATTTTAAAGAGCATTTGTCACTCCAAATACCAACACAAGGTTGAACCTGAAGAAAATAAAAGTTGAGATAACTTAAGGAAAGAAAATGTTTAAAAAATATCCAGATAGCTTCAACCCTAACCCTCCCAGCATATATCCCAGTAGCCAAAATAATCGTGATGGCGCATGCACCAACAGTAGGCTAGAATAAAATCATCCCATTAGGAGATATGTTTGTGCCCCATCAAATAGACCAACACGATTATAAAGGTTACAACATATATGTTACAATCAAAATTGTTGAAAATTGCTGGAAACTAGCTGCCGTCACTTACCACAAGGCCTGTAATAGGGCCGCAAAGCCAAATAAATGAAGAAAATGCATGCCCTATTCCGAGCGTCTGCATCAAAAATTCAAACAGTGGATATTAACCAAACAAGCTTTCAATAATCCAAAATTAGCACAGGCATTTGTGGTAGCAATATGAAGATCAAGAAACGATATGAATTGCGAAGATTAAAAAAGAAAAAGTGATAACTAACGCAGTTCGGGTTAATCAACAACCGCTTTCCATATTAACAGTAAGATTGCATTCCATATTCGGAATACACTACATTATCATCTTCCTTTTCATTTTCCACAGCAGAATGTACCAATCGAAGATTGCGAAAATATTTCATGTTCACGCATTACATTAACAGAAAAATAAATTAGTCTACAATCTTAAGCAGTGTGATTCAAACTACAGAATTTGAAATTAAAACTATACAGTAATCTACTAAATGGTAGATATTATACAGTAAATTACACAACAATACATAAAAATTTATTCTTGACATGCAACAGATTCAAAATCTAACCTGTATATAGGGAGTTAAAAGCGAAAGCTGCAACGCCCAACCGAACTGTACGCCGGCGGCGACCGTGCAGCTCAGAATAAGCGTCAAAAGAGTATTGTGTTTGTGTCCGGGCTGACCGGACGGCGAGAGGCCGCCGCCGCCGCCCCCATTTGGAACCCTAGGGGAGGAAGACGTAGACGAATTGAGGTCGATACGATGATGAGGCTCGTCCGTCACCATCATTTCCACTTCCGCCTCCCTCCTCAGGTTCCTGTACGGCACCCGGATGGACTCCGAGTCCGTCCTCCCCGCCATGGCGACTCGGTTTCACTCACTGAGTAACGGCCGCGAGCCAGAAGCTCAATTTCCCGCGCAATAAACGGAAAAACGGTGCGGATCAAGGTTTTTGCATGTAGATCGGATTCCGGCGTCAGAACTGCGAAGGATCAAATTTGGGCGGGTGCGCGAGCGAAGAGTCTGATAGCAATTCGGTGGCAGATTTAGCGTGCACCGCAGCACCATGAGGACTCCCTACTTCGGCGCCTGCTTTCGGTTTATCAGCTTTATGGGCCCCCGCCAACTTTAAAAGGCCCAGTGAAAGCTACGGTGTGGGCCTATAGCGTGATTCGGACTTAAACATGTGGAATTGTATATTTTTAATATAAAGCCCATACGTAAAGATAACTTTGAATCTGGACCGTCAGATTCGCATTGATTGGAAGTTGAGTCAAATTTACACGACAGTCCACACTTGTTTGTACTCATGAAATTCAAAGTGTGTGACCTGGAAATTCAATTTGATAAACAATGCTATGGCCTCATGCCTATGGTATGTTGCCAAATAAATGTTATTTACGTAACGACATGTGTTTAGTCAAGTTAGAAATCAGTATTTTGATGATGTGTAGTCGTGCTATATCAAGTCCAGTAGGTCGAGAATTTGTAATCCCAAACAAATGATGTGTGTTTTTGGCTATTTCCTTCACGAGAAAGGCTATTCGAGCCTTGATCTTGATGATGACGATCCACTTGCAATGCTCTTAGAATTGATAATCCAGCTTCTTTCAGATCTCCTACCTCCTCTCTCTCCTCTCTTAACCCTAATGCTCCCTCTTCTGAAACTAATCCTAGGATTGCTCCTACTGATGATGCAACTAATCCTACAAATGCTCGTACTACTGCTGCTGCTACTTGTTCTGATTCTGTTAATCCTCCTAATCATGCTCCTAATCATGCTCCAACTTCTCGATCTGCTTCTTCTCCTTCTCGGCCTAATCGAACAATCTCCAGACCAAAGTTATTTTCTTCTCCTTCTGCTGCTTCTCCTTCTCCTTATCGTCTACTTAATCGACCAATCTTCAAGCCAAAAGCCTTCTCTGCTACAACCAACCTCCATGGAAGACCGCAATGCAAGAAGAGTTCAATGCCTTGCAACAACCAGGCAGTTCGTATTAAAAGAAACCCTGACGGTTCTGTAGATAAATACAAGGCCAAGGGCCGTCGCAGGCCAGAGGGCTTGGATTCTACCCAATACTTTCAGTTCATTGGCAAAACATGCTACCGCCCATCCTAATTCTTCTCACTTTAGATGCTAAGTACAACTGGTTCGTAAACCCAAATGGATGTTAATAATGTTTTCCTTCATCGTTTGTAAATAATTATTCGTTTCATTTCTCCCCTTTGTAATGTTCTTCGGGGTTATCAATATGTACAGCAAGCATTATTTATACTAACACCAAGGTATCGAAACAACGAAATGGCTACAGTATTCTGTTCTATATACGAACAAAACAAGAGTACACGATTTTATCAAATACCTCACTGCCTAGCATTATGATTTCCCATATCAGCAGCAGCTTTAGCTGCTCGGTTTAGAGCACCCGACACCCAAAGAGCTCCGTTAGAAAAGTAGCTACTGTTCACTACTTTTCTTCCTGTCTCTGATATTGCTGATTTGGTGATCTCTGACACATGATACCTCTCATTTACAGACTTAACAGCTCCAACCCCTGCATGAATTTTATCGGTGACGCCAAATCTCTGGTTCAGTTCAGTCACCCTAGCTGCTGCACTTGCCGAGACGTGGTTAGACTCGTCCAATGCTTTTGCCTTGGTTAATGCATCTTTTCCGAGCACAAAGCCCCTGGCCAACATGGTCAAGACTACTTCCGGAGCCCCACTCACCACTTCTCCGGCACTAGGAATGTTCCAGCTTCCCTGTGGAGGCTGCCAAGGCATACTGATCGCTTACTCTTGCAAACCTTTTTCAGTACAACAGTATTGTGCGTGTGTGCGAAAATGTACAAACGAGAAACCAAATATTTGAGCCGTAGAAAGAAATAAAATATACATACGGTTGAATAAGTTTCATCTTCGTGCCGAGGCCTGTTCCAAAAATCAAATTCATCTTGATAGTGCCCCCAACGCGTTATGCACACAGCTTGATCTATTATTGTAGCACCCTGAGACAATAAGATTTTAAGGGGAAAACATGAATTAACGCTCACAAATCATCGGCGAGAAAGATCATAAGAAACCGCACAAGCGTTATCATCCAGGCATCAGTAAGAAACCACATACGAGCACAGACAGGTTTAAGTTAATAAAGGATTAGTAAACAAGATAAACCATATAACCAAACCATAATGATAAATACAGCTTTAAGTAAATGTTTCAGGGGGTGGTCAGGATGTGATATAACCAAGCTCCGGCTATAAGGACACTATGATAACACGGAAGCCCTTTCATCCAAGCAACAACTTATTTAGTTAAGGTCACCAGTTGAGCCCGGTATTTCGAAATCTTAGGCTATATTTGGATACCATCAAAGTTCCATCACTGAATTGTTTAGTATAATTACCATTCTTCTGTCAAAGTATCTATCTCTTGCTATGTATATAAGCACAAATATATTGTCGAAAGCATTTGGCAAGTTTTACACAAATTTTAACGGGACAGCCGGCATAAACGAGCTTTAAGCACCGCTATATTCATCGGTCTAGGCCAACACGGAGCAACTACGACTATGTTTATATGCACAGTGCATTAATCAGAAGTTGATCACGAAATATAGGAAGCGAGCACATGAATGATCAGTTGCGACGAGTCGAAGAAACACTCACACTGAGCAAGCAAGCAGTCCCCTGAGAATACGAATCTTTGAACGTCACATAGGCAGTGCATGCACAATCACCCGACCTGAATTTCCCCAGATTAACAACAAATTAATATCCCAAAAAAAAAATTTAAGACAAAAAAAATATTCAAAATGCTAAAAACACCACGAAACCTGACGATTTCGACATGGTCGATGGAACCAGAGAAGGCGAAGAATCGTAGACGTCTTTCTCCGTTGCTTTTGGGGACAGACCCGTAACTTCGACGGCGTATCCACCAGAACTCATCTTCTCCGAAAATCTTACGAATTTCATGAAATTAAAAGACTAATTAGTCCAATTAATCCAGATTCCAACCAGAATCTCACAATCTAATCTTCCGACTTTCCAATTCCCAATTCCATCACAGAAATTGATCAAATACATAATCTTCACACAATTTAAACACTAATCGGAAAAATAATGAGAAACGTAAAGCGTGAGGAATTCATTAACGCACCTGAGCTCGGTGTTTCTGATCAATGTGTATCAGAAGACGTGCAGGAGGAGGGAACCCCTTTTAATATCTACTTACACTTGTAGACAAAAAAAAAATATTTGTTTTATAGCAGAGCGTATGGTCACACACTTGCTAATGGTGATTGGAGAGTTTAGTAAGACGACGGTGAATCATCTCACTAGAGATAAATCTAATCAAAATCCTTAGCTTTCACACTAAGCAAGTAAAACTATCTTCACTCCATAACTAATAATGGAGAATGGTAATCCAACTGATTTACGACTATACCACGAATAATCGGAGAAAATGCCCATGGCAAAGCCCAATACAGGGTACAATTACAAGCATGAAGCCCAACCCAGCAAATTGGCAAGGCCCATGGCGTATGGATAGATTTGGACCGCAACGTATTTCGACACCGTACCTCTCAGGAGGGGTATGGTCTGGTTTTGTAGAAATTGTCTACTTGAGACTGTCGTTTGACCCGTAGATCTCAACACAAGGTTAAAGTTCTAATTATTAGCATAGGGGGTATAAAAATTTGGCTAGATGTAACTGTGAACACGGAAAATTCCTGAAACGAAAGAGACAAGAAACGACGTGCACAAACAAATATTTGTATTTGATGATTTTGGGTTACAATCTCTCTCTATTTTGATCCTCTGATTCGATCTCCGTAAGGTGTGTATTTGAGGATGTGTGATTGATCCAAAGGGCCGTTGGGCTTGATCTAAGGATGAACGTTCTTCAAGGGCCGTGGACTTGATCTTGAAGGTGGATTTGAGCGGATCTTCAAATGGGCTTTTGGGCTTGATCTTTGAAGAACAGTGATGAACGGATCTCCAAGGGCTTTTGGGTTTGATCTTGAAGAACAGTGATTAACGGATCTTCAAGGGCTTTTGGGCTTGATCTTGAAGAACAGTGATGAACGGATCTTCAAGGGCTTTTGGGCTTGATCTTGAAGAACGGTTGGATGTGTGGATTTGTCGACGTTGTTAATCCAAAGGGCCGTTGGGGCTTGATCTTGGATGAACGGATGATGAACGATGATGCTTTCTTCAAGGGCCGTCGGGGCTTGATCTTGAATTGGTGGATGGTTGATCCAAGGGCCGTCGGGGCTTGATCTTGGAAGAACGATGAACGAAGAACGAAGAACACTTTCTTCAAGGGCCGTCGGGGCTTGATCTTGAAGGTGGATTTGATGAAGAACGAAAAGGGGTTTCTTGATTCTTCGGGAACCTGGATGCTTGAGAGCTTCGGAGTTTCAGAGCTTCAGAGCTTCAAGGTGTAATATGAATTGGTTCCCCCAAATGAATGAAATGGGCTTGTATTTATAGAAATTTCCAAGGCCTAATTTTGAATATAATATTCCAGATGAAATAAGTCGTTTTCTGCCAGGTGTTGACACGTGTCCTATTTGATGACTTTTCCAACTCATTTCAATTTTCGTTGAGTCACACGCTACGTGTAAAATTTATGTAATACATGAGCGTTGACACTTTGATTTATCGGTCAACATTTATTTACCGAAATTTCGATGTCTACAAATGCCCCCACTTCAAGTCGCGTCGTGTACATGTGCTTGTCGCGTGTATGAGATGCGTTTTGAAGTCCCTTACTGTAGATGTCGATCCAAGGGCCGTCGAGGCTTGATCTTGAATTGGGCTTAAGATTTCTTCAAGGGCCGTTGAGGCTTGTTCTTGAACTTTCGTTTGAAATTTCTTCAAGGGCCGTCGAGGCTTGATCTTGAAGGTTGAAATTGGACCACAAGGAGCTTCATGTGGCAGATGATCTTTGGCTTTGGTAGTGAGTGAATCGACACGTATTTTGTTGCGCTTGTTGACTTTCCACAGCTTTGATCTTGAACTGGGTTGAAGGATTTTCTGGATTCCTCCAATTGTTGATTTTCCACAGCTTATTCTTGAACTAGGTTTTGATTCAAGGGTGGTAGACACTTAATCTTGAATCGGACTTGTGATTTCTTCCAGGGCCGTCGAGGCTTGATTTTGAATTTGGCTGGAAGCTTCTTCAAGGGCCGTTGAGGCTTGATTCTCGAAGGCTGACTCGAACACATGGCAAGCAGGCACGAGGTGAAGGTGACGACTTGTTGCTTTGTTCAATCTTTCTAATTCACACCTGAGCAGTTTGGTCAACGGTATGATCTTCAAGATTGATGGGCTCTTCTTCCAGTTGGTGACTTGATCTTTAAGGATTTGATTCAAGGGTGGTGAATCGGCACGTACAGCCCACAACGCCTAGTAAGTTGACCCAAGAATTTGAGGGTCAAAACGAGTTCACCGTCCTCAGGCAGATGCGGCATCTTCTCGAGTTCTTCATCTCAGACTCTTTCTGCTAAGTTGACTGTGCATGCTGCATTCTTCTCTGCTTGTTTCTTCAGGCAGATATGGCAGCTTCTCGAGTTCCTCAGTTCGGACTCTTTCTGCTGAGTTGACTGTGCAGACTGCATTCTTCTCTGCTTGTTCCTTCTGCACGTTGTCTCCACATGCTGCAAGGTATCATTTTCACTTGCCTTATCTATTCTTCAGGCAGATGTGGTAGCTTATTTGGAAGTACAGCAGCAGTGGGAGACGAGTCCTCGAGAGCAGTGCTAGGTAGGCAATCAGGGAAGGGTTCCAAGCAGTCGGTTCCTTACCCAATCTTGAGTGGAAGTTTCGGCATATTGTTTTCTTTATCCTTGTCTTTGTAGGTAAGAACAAGGACAAAGGAAAGGACAGGGGGAACGCATGATATGAGATACTCTTGCTTTCTACCCTGGTGATATGAGATACTTTTGCTTTGGAGTCATCGGCTTGCAGAGGCACCCCAAGGAATAAGGAACATTGAATGACTCGAGAGGCTTCGTTGGGAAAGCATTTTTGGAGATGAAGAAAGGCTCTGCATGTCTGCCTTGCTATGGAAGGTGAAGGTGGACAGTTATAGGAGGTCCCTTAATACCTGTAGAGGTACTATTCTTTCACTCGTGTCGGCAACTAACGCGTGATTGAACAGTAAACTTCACGTGCTTTCTCCTTCACCGAAAATCTTCGACAAATTGCCCGTGATTTGCGCAAAGTTGAGTGTGCATATGACAGGTGATGACGCGGCTGAAAAAAAAACTGGCGCCTCTTCGATAACTGGGATCGGCGCTTCGACAAAATTACCCGTGATTTCCGCAAAGCTGAGTTTGCATGTGATGGGTGCTGACGTGGCTGAAAAAGACTGGCGCCTCTTCGATATCTGGGATCGGCGCTTCGACAAATTGCCCGTGATTTTCGCAAAGCTGAGTTTGCGTGTGACGGGTGCCGACGCGTCTGGAAAAGCAAGATGCTTCTCCGATTTCTGAGCTTGCCTCTTCGATTTTTGAATGGCCTCTTCGAATTCTGAGCTCGCCTCTTCGATCTCTGAAATGCCGTCGAGTGTTGATTTTATAGAGGCACGCAGTTCGTTTCAAAGCACACTTCGCTTGTGAAAACTCCCCTCTTGTACTTCTAAGCTCTTGATTTGTCTGATCTCTTCTTCCTTCAACACTTTGAAAATGTCTGGACCCTCCGACCGTCGTTTTGACTTGAATCTTGGTGAAGAGGCAGTCCCGCCTTCTCCAGACAACATATGGCGCCCATCATTCATATCCCCTACTGGTCCTCTTACCGTTGGGGATTCGGTGGTGAAGAATGATATGACTGCTGCGGTGGTGGCCCGGAACCTTGTCACTCCCAGAGATAACAGACTACTTTCCAAACGGTCTGATGAGTTGGCTGTTAAGGATTCTCTGGCTCTCAGTGTGCAGTGTGCAGGTTCTGTGTCTAATATGGCCCAACGCCTATTTGCTCGAACCCGTCAAGTTGAATCATTGGCGGCTGAAGTGATGAGTCTCAAACAGGAGATTAGAGGGCTCAAGCAGGAGAATAAACAGTTGCATAAACTCGCACATAGCTATGCGACAAACATGAAAAGGAAGATTGACCAGATGCAGGAATTTGATGGTCAGATTTTACTTGATCATCAGAGGTTTGTGGGTTTGTTCCAGCAACATTTGCCTTCTTCTTCTGGGGCTGTACCGCGTAATGAAGCCTCAAATGATCAACCTTCAGTGCCTCCTTCTCCTGGGGTTCCGCCGAGTACTGAGGCGCCACCTAATCGTCCTTGAAGATACCCTCTTGTAAATTTGATTTGATTTGATTTTTTTTTTTTTTTTTAAGGTATGTATAATGCAAATTTATGTAAAATTTCCAGAAAAATAAATAAAATGGACTTCTATTTCTCTCAATGCATTTTTTTTTTTGCTATATACATACATATATTATGTATGTATGTATATATATATATATGTATATTTTTTCACGTGGACTCATCCACCATTCCAAAACCCTTCCCCTTTGCATGGTGCTAGCCACCAAGAATCCACCCTTCTCTCCTTTTTTTATTTATTATTATTTTTTATTATTTATTATTTTCTTTTCTTTTCTTTTCTTGCCCATGGTGCCAGATGCACCATCTTTTTTTTCCACATGGTGGTGCTGATCCACCAAGATTTTTTTATATTTTCTTTTCTTTTCTTTTGCCAAAAGCATCCCCTTTTTTTTCACGTGGTGACAGATGCACCACCACCTTTTTTTTTTTTTTTTTTTTTTTTTTGTATTTCTTTCTGTATAAATTAGGATGGTGGGTAGAGGAATTTGCAGGGAGCGGACGAAGACGGACGGAGAGCTTTAGGCAGCAGCCATGGCGGAGCAAGGAGGAGAGGATGAGGAGCTGGAGAACTTGGGCAGCAGCCATGGTGGAAGAAGACGAAGGAGTGGAGT